CCCGGTCCTTACCACGGGGTTTGTGTTAGTCGAGCTCGCCATGTCCCGAGCCCCCCGGGACGCCCCCAACCGCGGGGGGAGTCGCCCCTAAAACAATAAACCTGCCCGGCTGCGTCCCCCCAAGCCCGCACGTCCCGCCCCGGCTCACGGGCAGCCCCGCGGCCTGGCCCGGCCTCGTTCGCCGGCCCTGGGGCTGCAGCCGCCGCCGCCAGCCGCCCGCTCTGCCCGCTTCGCCCCTTTATATAGCGAGAGCCGAGCAGCTGCGCGAGCGGCCAGAGCGAGCGGGGGACGCGCGCGGGGGGGCGGCAGATACCGCGAGAGTAGCAAGCGAGAGCGCGCCGCGCGGGGCGCCGTCACGTGAGGAGCCCGCCCCGCCGCCATGACACCTACTGAGGCGGAAGTCCCCAAGCGAGGTTGCTCGTCTGCTTGCCGCGCCGCCTGCCGTACCGAGGCGGAAGTCTTCCCACGCTGCCCCGGCGGGCTCCGCGTCTCAGTCCCGCCCCGCGCGCGACGTTTGCCGTCACGGGGCTGCCGAGGGCAGCGCGCCTCCGCTCTGCGGCCCGGACGCCTCAGATGGGCCCAACGGAGTGGATTTCGGCGGGATGCTGCCCACCGCGAGGCGGCGACTAATAACTGCCTGGAGCGAGCCGGAGGTCAGGGCGGGACATGGAAATTCACATCGCCTCCGCTCGGTCTGTAAGAGTGGTTTGCTCCTCGATGTCAGCCCCTCACTGTGCAGTTCCAGGTACGCAGGAGCCCTGCCTGGCCCAGCAGGCGCTGGTGCCTCTTGTCCCAAGCCTTGAACTGGCCCTGGATGCTCAGTCTCTCCTTACCTAGGCTGGTGACAAAAAGCAGCACAGAGACCTCAGGAAGAGGCAGGCAGCAGAAGTAAAATCACCTGTACCTTGCTTGCATCCAGGTCGTGCTGTAGCCCATGGGCCCTCACTTGTAGAATTGCTTCTTTAGCAATTCCTCACAGAGTCTGTGGCACTGAGAACTCCTGGCTTGCTGTCAGGCCTCTGCCATTTGTCTTGGCTTCCATTTTTGCCCTCTTTATTGCCTTTTCTTCCTTTTTCACCCCTTTGCTTATCCCCTTTCTCCATGGCAACTTGCAAGACACATGTAATACAGTAAAGTGTTCTAAACCACGAGGATCTTTACATCAGCTAACTTTCCTATGTCACCTTCACCCAATCTTAAGGATAACTTCTAAACACAGCTTAGAGCTCCAGCAGTAGCCCACTTGTGTAAGACCTGCTCAAGCATAAATTGAGACCAACACTGAATTTCAGCCCTGCACTCAAGGAATCATGTTACATCCATCTCCTCAGGAAAAAAAAAAAAAAAAAAAAAAAAACAACCCTGCACTACTTACCACATTTGGCACATTAGCTTCAGTCTGAAGTCCCACTGACAAGCTAGCCCAAGCAACATGTTTAGTAACTCCTGTCTGGTAACCTATGACCAAAATTAATTTGTTAGCGGATACAGGAGACCTTCACATTGCATCCTTCTAGATGCTTTAGTTCTGTGGTAGTGAGTACCGTTCCCTTCTGAAGGGAGGACCTTACAGAGGCATGTGACTGATGAACCAACTCCACTGTTTATGGCACATACTGCTGGAGCTCCAACAAAAATTACATGGGACAGATTTTTACCATCCTCTACTGTCAATTCTACTTTTTTTTCTTGGAATTTTCCACTTCCACAGTATAGGATGATGAGAGTCTGCCACCTCAGCAGCTGTAACTCATGATCTAACCTAAGTTGTACTGAATAAGCAGCAGGAATTGAGGTGCTAGTGTTATTTCACCCTGATGTCTCCAATAAAAAGGCAGTAATCTCTCGCAAAGGATTTGTGAAGTGAATCTGTAAATTGTCCAACACTCTTGGCCTTCCATTTTCTACACTTTAAATAACTGCACAAATGATCATGTAAAACTTGAAAAGGAGATATCAGTGGGGGCATTCACAGCCAGAGTTCACAAATAGTTTTAGCCGCTGAAGCGACTGACACTCCACCACAAATTAATCTGATTGCAAATGATACCCTTCCTCTTTTCAATATTAAGCACTGGGTACCTACAATTGCTTTCCCTAGATAGACCAGAAACCCCACAGTTTTCCAGAGTGACTCACTGTAATTCAAAAACCAACATGGACACTAACAGCAGTAGTAGCTCAGTAGGGTATCACATTCCTTTCAGATCCTCCAGAAGGTCAGATCAGTGGGCAGATCCAGTCATGGTTTCAACAGATACCAGAATCAAGTTACTGTGTGGCACTGTGACCCACAAGCTCCTTTAACGAGCATTGCCGTGAATCAAATCAAGCCCCTCATGAGAAATTCCCCCTACTGAGTCAAGTCAATGGTCCACCTAATTCAACAGCAATTCAGCTGAGGGAAAACAAGTGAATTAGACACTTTCTGAAATCTGTTCATTCCATGCTACCCCAGCACTTCAGCTGCCCTACTGTATTGCTATTAATGAATTCACTTCAGCATTGTCAGGATTAACATGCATGCATATATAAGCTTCACTAGCAACACTGATGACTTAGCATCATTAGCATGAATTACATGCAGCATTACTACTATAGCTAACTATTCTTTGTTTGCCAGTCATGGATCACGTTAAGCCTGCTCGTTATCCTGTCTTCTTTCTCTCTAAGGTTTCTTACCATTGCCAACTCAGGGTAGCTTCACCAGGTATGGCCAGTTATACATTTTGGCCACTGCACTAAGGCTGAACTGCACAGTGATGTGTTATTACACTTCATGCCCAAAGCAAGGGTGTTGATGTTTGGGTACACCCCTTCCTTTGCAAGCAAATAGTTCCAAAGAGTAGATAATATGAAGGAAAAACTTCTGTCCAAAAATCAAAAGCTGATCCTTTCCTGAGGAATAAACAAAGTTCACACTCAACCCTAGGTGCAATCACCTCTCTTTCTACTGAAATCCACAAACTGTTTTTTATAGCTAATACCAACCATGCAGGAATACCTGTTGATACAAGAAGCATCCTTCATTTCTTCACAGCAGTGAAAGGTGACCTACCATTGTGACATTAGCTTGCCAAGACAACACAAAGGGAACAAACTACACCTATATTCTTAATGCATCTCCTTTGTCAGAGGACCTAGGTCACTTAAAGATTTTTTCCTTTAAGTTGATTGAAGGAATCTGGAGATGAGGGAAGAAAAAGAAAATAAAACAGTTTTCTTCATTTGTATGCATTATTTGGATTACAAATCTACTCTAAATTTATTTGCAAGCTGTAATGTATTGCTATTCTTAGGTATCTCCCATATTTTGCAAAAGCAGAGCTGATGTACAAGTACTTGCTAATCTGAGGAGCTAGGGTGGGACACAAGTCTAAAGACCTGAAGTTGCTAAGTACCTGTGATTTCCACTGAAAGCCACCAAGTTGCAGATGAAAACCATAAAATTTTGATTCTAAATCAAAGTAGATTACATTTATCATCTTCATTTATTTATTGTCTTTTGTTGTTGTTGTTCATCTGAAAATAATAATAAAAAAGAACGAAAGCTACCATTCTGTCTCCCAAGAGCAGACAGTGAATGAACCTAATCTCATTCTCCTGAAGGAGCCAATATTCAGTCATCAGAGTGCCCTCATTTTTTTCTGTGAAAACATTACTGATCAGATAGTGAAGAATAGCAACACCTCATGTTAGATAATCTAAGAGTCTTTTACAACTTCTTAGCTCTCAAACCTACAGAAAAGCTCATTAAGTGCAGCTGTGTCAGCTCATTCCCCTCTGCCCTGGGCAGAGAGAGTGTTAAGGAAGGAAACAATAATTCATTTCAACCATAGTAAAGGAGTGCAAACCCATGATGTAAATGTCATGAACTGAGACTAGCAACATGCATTTTGTTTTTTCCGTATTTAGGTCTTATCCATTGTACTAATCTAATATTGTAGCTTTCCTGACAAAGTCTCCCCTCTGCATGTACAAAGGCAACTTACAATTTAGAGCTACTATGTTACACTGTTTCCTTAAAAACAAGGTAAGTCAATGAATGCTTCTCAAAAGTCTCTGAGGGTGTCATCAGTCAAGGAAGCAAACTTTTTGTCCCAGACTCTGAAACAACAGTTTTGCAGTAGAATGAGATACACATATAGTTTTAAATTGCAGTAGCACGTCCTAAAATAATAAAACTGAACAAATCCAGTCTAGCAAAGGTAGTTGAAGAAAAAGCAGCTTGAAGTTATGGTTGTACATTGTGAGTTTAGAACTTATGTCCTTGTCATGGTTTTATGGCTTGTTACCGGTATTCCACATCATAACATCTCGCCGTGCACTGCGACTTAAAGAGTTAATGCTCCAATTCCATGGATTGTTGATACTTCTGGGTTCCTGGTTTTCAGAAGAATTACACCTCCCAAAAGACTTTACTGATCTGTTTAGAGGCAAAGATAAAATGGCATACAAGTCATGAGATTTGCTCCTTCTTTTACTACTTGTCTCTGCAGTGTGTACTCCCTAGCCATCTCACCTTCAGCATTAGAGTGAGGCTTTTGGTTTTGGACATTCTCTCTCTTCCTCTTTTTTTTTTTTTTTTTTTTTTTTTTTTTTTTTTTTTTAATTAGCTTCAATTCCAATTATATTTTACTATATTGTGTTATCTTGCATTCCACTGTCATATTTAGTAAATTAACACTTTCCTTTAGCTCACTTCTGCCATTTTGTTTTTAGACCCATCTCCTTACCTTTTCCCTAACCCTCTTCTCCCTCTCCCAGGGCATGGGTCCCTCTGCCCCAATTAGTTATGAAACTGGGCTGAACTGGCGCAGAAAAATGTTGACAGTTCTCTACAGTGAACTTGCTCTCATTACTTTTACACACTATACCAAAAAGAATGCAACTTTAAATAAAAATGAGATTTTTTTATTGGTTTGTTCCTACAGAGCTGAAAGAATTGTAGGTGGTCCAAACCACAACTCAACATTTTGGGCACAGGCAGAAGATAGCAGTATACACAATATAGAAGCTTTTCTAGATACAACTAGTAGCCTTCAAGACTTAGAAGCTACTTATTAAATAAACTTCATTATGTGCCAGCATTTCTTCTATCAGTGTTGAGATGTTGCATAAAAATCCTTTAATTAGAATTTAATAAGAAAATATTGAATGAAATCTTCCTTCTAAGAGTCTGCTCTACAGAGTCTCATAGTTGGAAACAAAAGTCTGTAAGCTCACATCCCATTTGCCTCCAGCTCTAGATTTACCACCCAAAAAAATTTAAGTGAGCCAGAAATTGAATTTAATAGGTTATCTGAGTCTTATTCAAAGATACTTCAATTTCTGTGATGGATTTGCTCTTGTATCTAGAATTTGAAGCCTGACAGTGCACTCCACCAAAGCACACCAACACCAAGCTTAAGAGTCCAACATACGCACAATTCAATCGTCCTCATCAAAGCCTAAAGAGAGCCAAACCTTGCTCTAGAATAACATGGTTTGTGTCTACTAACCTCTTGGAAGGTTGGAGTACACAACATGATGTGCTAAACCAGGCAAGAGCTGGCAAGGATCTCGCTGCACACTAAGCCTTTCTATCACGATTAGGCTGTTAGAGCCTCAGGCTTGTCTTGTTTTTACAAAGTACTTAAAGTAGGAAGCATGGAGAATTTAACTTTAATACACTTTGAGACTGTTCATCATTTGATTATATACAGTTGTTTGAAAACAACTAATAAACATCTTGCTTATTAGAGC